AGTAGTTGATTTTGAGAAAGCCGCTTCGGGCCCGAAAAAACAGTACTCTAGTTAATTTTGAGAACGCCGCTTTGGGGTTTAGGGCCGTATGGTGAGAGTCTGATACAAGGCAGCAGGTATGCCCCACGTAATTTTACCCTGAGGGTCCGAAGATGATGCCCTGACTCCTACAATTAGGGTTTAGGGCTTAGGGTGTGCTGAAAAGGGTTTAGGGTACCCTATAGACCCTGAACCCTAAACCCTGGATGTCTCAGAATAGCTTTTGTGGGCGGAGGCCGGGGTGTCACACTCCCTGTAGGTAGATCACGGTAGACCCATCAGAACCCACCTGTACATGCAAGTTTGTATGGCCATACATGCCCCTGATGTTTTTGTTTTTAGGATGCTCTGATTTTAAAGAACTCATATTCTTAGTTTTGGCAGTGTCTGGAGCAGCAGCGTGTAACGGATGTAGGATTTACATTTGGTGCAATGTTAAACTGTCTCAGGAAAAGACATCCTAGTGAAAGGGACAATCATGCTAATAACGATTTCCCATACATACGCATGCATGTGTCTATACATATGTTAGTTTGTAAAGCCCCTACAGAAGCTTGCCATACCACCGATTTCATCTGTAAGATCCTGCGGCCTTGGACCACCAAAGTCGGACGTTCAAATGCCGTGGACCCAAAGCACCGGCAAAGCCTTCAAAGACGCCCTCAAAGCAAAACCCTTTGGCCCCTTCACCCTTCAAATTCCGGACACGGCTTTCGAATGATTAGGCCACAGTGCCTCATGAACTTTAATAGCGCCTCCAAGTTAGCTTTCAAGCGCAGCCTCTTTGAAGCACTCTGACATTTCGCAGAGGTGCTGCTCTTCTAGGAGCATCTGAGGCATTGGGGCCTTGGGCCACTGAATACTTTGTTCCATGACGGGGGTTTCAGGGTACAGGCGATGGTATGTCGGATCGGGATTCGGGATGTTGAAGTTTCAAGTCCGCTGGGGCAGCGGCTTTTCGAAGAGCCCGGGGTGTCCCAATGATGCTATGCCAGTCTTTCGAGTACACAGCCTGTGTTGCCCGTTTCCCGTTGAGAAAGTTCAGGGATGGAGGGCTTGTGTTTGATCCACAGCGATTTCAGCCGCTGGGTGCACTGAAATCTGCTGCCACTATGATTCCCAGCACTTGGCGACTGCACGGCCCACATAAATGCCCCATGTTGCGCGCAGCCATGCGCCGTTGGGAAAAGGAAATAAATCTACACTTTTTCAACTCTACAGCAAAATTGTTCGTTGCGGTTCGTTTAGAGTTTGTTCGAGCATTCTAGCAGCCTTCTGCATCGCGAACCTCTGTCACCTACTCCGCTTTGGGCCAGGACGAAGATGTCTTTGCCACCTGGCCGCATGCATGCAGGACTTCCACGTCAGGTCAGCTGCTGCGGCCACATAGCATGACAGCGAGTTTTGCCTCTTGGACCCATTGCCAACTATCGCATCCTCCAAGGCTGCTGCTACTACTTCTGCTGCTGCTAATGCTACTGCTGCACCCTAAACCCTAAATCCCTAAACCCTAAACCCTAAAAGGGACCCTAATTCCCCTAAGCCCCTAAGCCCTAACAGTAACTTGGAAACCCGGAAAAACTCAGCTGCTTAACCCTAACCCCCCAGGTACCTACTATATAGGGTACTAGAGCCCCTAGGGCCCTATAACCCTAAACCCTAAACCCTAAACCCTAAACCCTAAACCCTATATAGTAGGTACCTGGGGGGTTAGGGTAAACCAAGGAGACCTGGGCCCGGTTACGGC